AGCATGCGAAATTAGTAAATTTTTGCAATTCAAATAAAAAAATTTAATACAGAGATAAAGGATAGTTTTGCACAAAACACTGCAAGTTGCTATCAAAACAAAAACATTAACCTAAAAAAACTCAAATCATGTTCTTAAATAACCTTGCCAGTTCAAGGTTTTTTATGGATATTGTGTATATAATCAAGCCTGTTCAGAAATATCTAAACTTTAGTTGTATACAACTGCTTTATCAGATTAAAATGATTTTTTGATGAATGAAGCCTGTAGGTTTTAAATTTAACCATTCTTTTCAGACCTCATTGACTGTTGATACAGAATCGGAAACATAATAGTACTGTAACTCCTGTAAAAATGTATACAATTTTATACCCAATGGTTTGGTTACTGGTACTACCACCTAAACATTCATTTGACACAAGAGTCCTCTGATAACCTAAGAATTAAATATATATGATTATAAATTATTAAACTGTGGTCACAAATGAAGATAACATTATTAGAAAAAAAAAAAAATGGATAAATCATAAATTGAATATTGTTAGTTATTTTCCATTCCCAAATAAAATCAAATGAAATGTGTGAAATATATATCAATGTTATATAGTATAGAATATAATATGATTTTTCCACAATTTCCTATTTTATGTGAACTAAAAAATATAACGAGCCTATCGTTATATATATATATATATATATAATATATATTATATATATATATATATATATATATATATATATTCTATTTTGATTGATTTAAAATTATAATATTATAAAAATTTTTTTATAACATTCAACATTATCACTTGATAAGACATATATTTCAAACATTTAAAGAAATGACTATTTTATAAATGATTTTTGAATTTATATTTATGTTATCATTTTGAATAAAATTAATATTTCCTCTACTCTGTATTGATTACTAATTTTAAGAATAGTATTTGTTGGTGATTGGAATTTATTTATATATTTGCAGACTATATATGGAATATATATATATATTTATATATATATATATATATATATATATATATATATATATATATAACTATGAACGGAAGAGCCAATAAATGTCCTTCTAGGTTTCCCCTAAAAAAAAAAAATAGGTGCAATCCATTACATATAATGAAAGGATTTTTTTTTTTGGGCTCTGAGCTTGGATTCTGGAAATTGTTTTCATTTCAATTTCAATTTTAGTTCTTTCTTTTTTATTCTTTATTTTTTCCTTGGGTATTGGTTTGTTCATCTATTCAAACCTATGGTTTTAAAGACGATATATATATATATATATATATATATATATATATATATATATATAAGTCTGATGAAAATTTAATAGGTTTTAAAAAAATAATATTACCTAGTTTTTTTAAAATATAAAAATATATATATATATATATATATATATATATATATATATATAAATATATATATATATATAAATTGAAACACATAGACACAAACATATATATATATATATATATATATATATATATATATATATATAAAAAAATACACATATATATATACATACACACACAATATACACAGACACAGACACACACAGACACACACAGACACACAACACACACACAATATATATATATATATATATATATATTTAAATTTATGTATATATCTCATGTATGTATTTGGGCGCGTATTCATCACGATTAGAACGTTCGCTTTCTGACCATTAGGGTTTGAGGTACTGACCATGAAACCCACAACGAATCCATTTCAATTGATTTGTCAGTTAGGTGACTATCTGACGTTATCGGTCTGGAGGGGTGGGGGACAACGTTTGAAAGTTAATCTTTATAAATCATACCAAGCCTTGTGTGTGAAAATATGATAGACGGAAACCACAGTGTAGATAGTTGTCCTATCATGAATGTCTTAAGTCAGATGGAGGCAAAACGTTTGAGTGTGATAAATATGTTCATTTCGGTTCTGATCAAAGAAACTGTCCTTAAAGGTCTGCTCAACATGGTTATAATATAAACCAATTAAATTATAGACAAATATATAACAATATATAAAAAAATTTTATATAGTATCTGGTCTTAATAAATCGACAAGTTGCTTAAAATCAATCAATATCCTATAGATATATATATATATATATATATATATATATATATATATATATATATATATAGTATATATATATAACTATCCTGTCGAGATTCGACGTATGAGGGTCAAGCAGATCAGTTTCCAGGAAACCGACAGCCCGACACCGGCACATGAGATGTGATTATAGTGGTGAAGACTTCGTGCAGGACCATCCACACTTTTTGAAGGGCCAAATACAGAGACCTGGTGCACTACATGCCACAAGTCCCCAAACGACCCTCCGCAGGTTTTGAATATACAGTTGTCCTTCTCCTAGACCAGATACATCATAGGCTATAGAACCCAGTCTGTCCTGCTATTTTACCCATATATATATATATATAGTTCTCTAATCAGTTTCTTGATGTTAAGATGCTTAGAGAACTAGCAAGGTTTATTATAAAAATAGACATATGTCTATATATATATGAAATATATTTGAATGAAGATATGCTGCCAAAACATACATACATATATATATATATATATATATATATATATATATATATATATATATATATTACATGCGATGGATAAATTTTCCGATAAATGACGCAAAAATAAAAATAACACTGACATTTTATTTTAACCGATATATTTACCAAAATTATACATAAATATCTTGAAATACTAAAGAGTAAATTTATTCAATAAAATCGCCATTGGCTTCAACCACGGCCTCCAGACGACTTCGGAATCTCCTGTAACTCTTCTGGGCGGTCTCCATATTTAAGTTGGTGAATGCTGCCATAATCCTTGCCTTCAGTACATCTTTGGTATTACAACGTTGGTCTATTTCTCAACTCTGCCCTACACATAATAATCAAGGAGTTTGTAGTCTGGTGTTTAGGTTGCCAGGTGTAAGGGCTGATATGGTCGCAGAAATCGTTTGACAGCCATGACTGGGTTCTCATGCTTGTGTGGCATGGTGCAGAGTCCTGTTGTCAGACATAGTTTCTTCCATCAGACAGTGAAAGAGAAAGACAATTTGGAATTCATAATAATGGAGAAGCCAGTGAAAAGCTACTTGTTTGTCTTTCCTAAGAATTCATTGTAATTCACTGATAATTGGAAAAAAAACAAAAACAAAAAAAAAACGAAATCTTTTGGGAGCGTTGTCCCTTCATCTCCTGAAAGAAGAGGACCAAATGAAACAACAAGAAAAAGAATCTAAATCAACAAACTCGGGGGGTTGGGAATCTCGACTTGGATCATAACCAAAGAAGCAGCCGGATGCAGGCCAGGAACAACACTTACTGAAATTAACTAGGTACACAAAAAGGGTTTAGCCTAACCAGGAGAGGGCTCCACAAGAAACTACTCCGATGGGACTCAGGGAGACCTAAAAAAGAAAATCAAGGCTAGCCCCGTTCACGAGAATCAAGCTCGCCTCAGTCACCCACCTTTGGCTAAAATCTGTCGAAACCAATCGCTTTCTATCAGTTCTAATCTTCATTTTGAGCTAGTGCTCAAAAACTGAATGAGATCTTAATGAGAAAGACGGTTGCCTCACAAGACTTCCTCCTGTAGCGTCGTCCAAATCACCATTCGGACCATGACCAGCAGCGATAGAAACACCATCCGTTTCACTCTAACCCTAGCCTCGAAGTTGAGTTTCCTGCGCCGCGCATTGACGGGAGATTCGATTGTAGAGGAGATTGTGAGGAACGCCTTCCCTCGCCTTACTATCCGCCCCCATCTCACGGGTTGAGCGCTGTCGTAAACCCCGGGATCAATCGGATTTCCTTCGCGCGTGTCGGCAGGCCTTGAGGAGCATTCCTCATTCCAGTGACCTTTCTCGGCCTAGAAGGGTCTTCTGTCGTTATCTAGTGAAGCGGGCCGCGAAGGATCCTCTACGTGAGCGGCTCGACATGGAGAAGAAGTTTCGTTTCTTCTGGTCTTGGATGAACCCAATAAGTGATAGAAAATGAAAGCATTTCCTGCCAAGGAAAGCCTAAAAGATTTCTCCAATTTTGAAACAAGGACGAATCCAAACGCATTCAATTCCCTGAAGACAAATCTGTTTACTTTAATGACGTAAAGACAAAAAAAATAATCTATGACGTTTTTATTATTCCGTCATAAAGAGATTTCATCAACGAGCAACAAACCATTTCCTTGCTATATTTTGCGTCTGCCATATCTATTCCACTGCTGCTCCAATAAAACAGAACAAAATGGTTTTAAAATACAAAAACAAGAATTTCAAATCCTACAGTCAAGTGAAAAAATCTCACCGAAGTCCCCATTCCTATGGCGGCCGTTCCTTTCCCAAAGTCGCTCTTGCCTCTGTCCGGAGAATGAGAAGTTTACAAAAGCGAATCAAAAAATCAAGCCGTCCGATTCGAATTGAATTTTACAAAAAGTACCACCGGATCCCAAAACGTCAAAAAAGGCGTTTACATGCAGTAAGAAAACCTACGAGGCGCCATGTTTCTTCATCCAAAGTAAAACCAACATTTTATTACAGCCGTCATTTTAATACAGCAGTAAAGGCAAAAAGGTCAGTAAAAAAGTTTACAAGCAAGTTTTCCACCTCGAAAAGGGCAACACCAACACGAAGATATAAAACATCTTCGAGAAAATCTGTGAAAGTATTCCCGTTAAAAAAGGCGAGAAATCAACAAAAGAAAATGGTTTCCACGGATGGTGTGAGAAAGAAAAGGTCCAGTCGGCGTTCGCGTCCATTAATGAAGTTTCTAAAAAAAACCGCCCCTTTGAACGAGGAGATTTTATCTAATGAAAGTAAAAATAAAGTTACTTCAGCAAATATTTCTGTGCAGACAAAGACAGAAAATCTTCCTGATAAAGAAGAGATAAAGGACAATATTTCTACAGCAGATAAAAATGTCTTTACTAAAAATACAGACGTTGGAGAGATGGCCTCAACTTCACAATGTACCGACTTCGCGACTGCATCAAATATTGACTATTTTGAGAAAGCTTGTGGAACAAGGGAAGATGAAGAGAGAGGAGAAAGTGTGGGTCTTATAACAGCTGGTGATACAGAACTTACAGCTGTGAAGGGCAGTTTGGATCTGACAGCAACGGTTGACGTGGATCCCGCACAAATGGTTGATGGTGCAGACCTCACTGCAAATGTCCACGCCGTTGATTCGATACCAACGATGAAAATTAATGTGGATACTAGTGAAGGGGTTGTAGTAGAAACGGAAACTCTGGACGACCCAATGGAAGATGAACTTCCACACGAAGTGATGGCGAAAAATGATTTCTTTAAAGCTGAGGTCGATGAACCACTTTCAGGAAATGTGTCCGGCAGATTCCATCCGAAACTGACGAACACAGAGTAGCAGAGACGCTGAATTGTTTTTAAAATTTAGTTGAAATAAATTTCGTTTCATTAAAGAAAACTGGTCTTTTTTCATTTATACCTGGTAACTTTTTTAAATTGGCCCCAAAATTATTTTTTTTTTACTTTAAATAAAACAAAAAAGAGAGGCCTTTCTTTTTTGGGGGTTCGACGGGCCCTACTAGCATCAGTTATGTTTAGTTTGTTTTGTGGGAATATTTAATTTGTTATTGGGTTCATCTCCCTCCCCTCTCATTATTCATCAATATATCTTTATATATAATAATTTATTATAATTAAATTTTTATGGAATGGGACGCGTTTTGTGGGTCCCCCTTGAGAGGATGTAGTATTTGTATGGGGGATTGAGTGGTGACTGGCGAGTTTTTTTTGTGGTGAATGGGCAAATTGAAATGAGTGAATGGGTCGTGAATCGGATTAGCTAGGTATAGGAGAGTTAGTGATGACCAGCCTCAACCCCTCCCCCTTTTTCGGCCTCGTGCCATAATTATGTATTTTCACAATAAATCCCAATAAAGCAAAATTATTATACATGGTTAAAAAATAGCGAGACATGATTTTTTATTGGAATTATTATTATGACAAAAAGAAGAAAAAAAGCATTTTATGATTAAATTTTGCTCTTGTCAAAATATCCTCCTGTAACCTTGATTACTGCAGCACAAATTTTTGGTATTCATTGTAAAAGTTTCTCAAAATATAAGTTTGGTAATTGATTCCATTCTTTTTTTCAATGACTCTAAGAGCGCTTTTCCATTTGTTTTTACTCTTCTGTTAAGTTCATCCCATACTTATTCTGTGAGTGGCTTCAAACTTTTGAATTGTAGTGTGTGCGTGTGTGTGTGTACATACGTGTGGGTGTGTTTTTACATGTGTGTATGTATGCATGTGTCCGTGTGCGTACGCTTGTGTGTGTATGCGCGTGAGTACACGTGTGTGCATGCGTGTGTGCGTGTGTTTACGTGTGTGTGTGTATGTGCGTGTGTTCCGTTTAAATGCTTTGTTTCTTTGATTTTTACTACCGAATTCCCTCCCACACAATTCATGTGTAAATTTTTATAAATTTTTAAAATAAAAGAAAAAAAAAAAGGGAAAAAATATTTGTACATCTGAAGAAATTTTTAAAATCATGTTGTCTTTTATTAAGATTCCTGCGTCTTTTATTAAGATTCCTGTGTAGATGTGGTATTGTGGTACATGTTGGATTAGATGGAGACGGATGGCTTCTTGTGGGGATTATTAAGAGGCGGATTAGCTAAGTGTAGGATAGACAATGTTGACCAGATTTTCCCAAAGTCTCCTTCGGCCTTGTGCCCCAAATTTTTGTATGTACATGAATTAAATAAATATATACTTTATATATATAAATATAAACGTTTCTTATTCAGTTTTAAATCTACGTGGACTGTATGTGTGTGGATTTCGCAACCAATTTCCGAATTTATTTTCAAGTTATAAAATTTTTTATCGTACAAAAAATTCGTCACAAAAAAAAATGACGTAAAAAAATCGCAATATTGGAAACTTAGGATTATGGATTTGGATCTGGATCAGAATGTATTTAATTTGCTCACGAAGTCAGCCTGATTCCAAAATGATATGATATGTTAGGCTACCGCTTCTAGGAGTAAAATTGAAAAAGTGTGACACACTGATACACTGACATTCACATTTATTATGTAGAAATTAAATTTATTAACTTCTCTAAAAATGGACTATTTTTCGACTGTGGGACAATCACATCAAAAAGGCTTTATTTGGTTAACGACTTAATATTTTCTTTATTAAATAACAATTAAATTTACTTACACTATTTATATCGTTCAGTCTGTTATCCTTATCTTTATCGTCATATTCATGACGTTTAGGCCGTTGTACGCTCCGGCCTTCTTCAGGCGGTATGTTGAAATTTCGAACCGAACTCTTCATTTAGTTCACGGTTTAGATTGTCCGCGTGTGCCATGCCTTTTTTTTTTATATCTCAGTTTTCTTAGTAACTCAATTCTCCAGTTTTTGTTCCCTCTACTGTGGCCAGGTATTGAACTCACAACTGTTTCGGTCAAGTCACTTTTTGGATTACTCAACGAACGCCTTTATCCACTGGGTCATAAATATTAGTAGACAAATCCCAAATATTTCTAAAAGAAACGATGTAAAAAAAATGCCTCAAAATTCTGAAAAATTTATTGTTAAAAAAATATCTGATATCCTTTGATCATCGGAGTTCAGACCAGCGAAGAATAACGGGTATCTTTAGAATTTGCTTAACTCTATTCAGTAAACATTTCAACTGCATCAAACGGTTCTCTGTGGTCTTTTCGGTCATAAGTTGCTCTTGTACTTTCGGCATCACATGCTTGGTTTTTCGTATTTTTATATCAGAAAATTTCGTGTATTGGGCCTCATGGAATAAGTTAAAAGGTCCAAAATTCCATATCCATTTGAAACGTTTTCCTCCTCATCATAATAGTTCTTTGATTTATTAATTTAAATTAGTTGTGGTTTTTTAAATATATTTAAAATGACTCAAAGATTGGATGTCAAAATAAAATGAATTTCCAATATTAATGCGAAATCTTAAGTATTCTTCGTCAGACATTTTTTTTGTTAATTATACGGTGTCTTTATCGAAAGACCACTAATAAATAGCCATTAATTGTGCTTGAATTTCAAAAAAAGGACATTTACCATTCTTAGCAAAATATGTTTGCATTACCACTTAAAAAATTAACTCTTTTTTATTTTTTTTTGCTTCAGACCTTAAAAATGCAAACAGAAGGATTTTTATAAACAGGGTCATCACTAATTTCCATCTAAGAATTTTTTTTTATTTCCCCAAATACTCATTGTCCCTCACTTTTTTTTGATTGATTTATATTTATTAAAAATGATTTAGCTCTGTTGAGCGAGGTTCGAAACCGGTTAGCTAGCTCGTTTTTTAAGTTCTACCTTTTACATATTATCATGAATGGTAATAAATATACATTTTGTCTTTCATGGCAGTAACTAAATTTTGTACCACTAATCAAATTCTTATATATATATATTATATATATATATATATATATTTAAAATTAGTTTTAAGGTGTGCATATTTATTTAATTCATTTTCAATATCAGAGATTTGAGAATTGTCAATATAAAAATTAACATTTGAAGTTTTTTTCAGAGGCGACAGGTTGTTTTCAAAATTTAAAATCGTCTTTCACATAACGATTGCAATCCAGTATTCAATTTACTTAACATTTAATTATTTAAATGTTCACTTTTATATATATATATATATATATATATATATAATATATAATTTTTTAACATATGCTATATATATGGATTAAAATTTAATTCTTCTTTCAATAGAAAATCATGATAAATATAAAAATACTAATTGAAGTCAAACCATAGGCGACAGTCTGTCTTATGGTAAAACCCAATTGTATTCTACTTGAATATATTACATACAATCAAATATGGCAATAATTTTTTTATGCATGGTATTTTAGAGATAAACCCTGTTATTTCGATGTAGAGAAACTTTTAGATCCATCAAGCAACAAAATGGCCATTTAAGAATGAATAAATAAATATAATAATGATAAAATAAAAAATAATTTAAGTAAAAATTCGATTTTAATGGAATTATATTTATTCTGAGATGTTTTTATTTCTCTATTAATATCATCTTATCCATGTTGTTTTTTTTCTTTCACGAAATTTTTTTATTTTCATTCAAATGCCCAAATTTCAAACTTTTATCTCAAAAATACCCTAATTATCTCAGAACGTTAAGCAAATTGAAAAAAATCCCCCACCAGTGATTTTTATTTAAAATTCAAGTATTTTTTCCTTCTAGCATTTTCCATTGTCGTCTTTCTCATTTGGGGCATTTATAATTTTTTGGGAACCAAATAAAATGAATTGGGATGAAATTTTGCAAGAAATAGAATTAAAAATACTAATTAAAACGCCAGAAATAAAGATTTTTTATTTTGTAATGTTTTTTGAATAAATTTGAATATCAAAAGGGAAATAACAGATTTTTAAGAAAAAGTGAGAGATTAAAGTCAATAATCATTTATATTGAGGTTTTATTTATATATTTAATATAAAGAGAGGTAAAGGATAAAGAAATGAATTTGTTTTTTATTATTTAAATATATATATAGATAATAAATATAGATAAAAATGATATAATAGACGTTTTTTCAGAAATATGTTATAGGGATAAAATGGGTGTATTTTTGAAAGGCGGTTGATCATGGTTTTGGTGGTGGTGGTTATATTTAAGCTTGTTTGAAATTTAAATAAATAAAAATTGAAAGCGACGCAAGCAAGGTAGAAATTATTTTAATAAAAAATCCACAACAAGGCCATAAGTATGTATCACTCTAAAGATCAAGCTCTCGATTAACGGAAATTCAAAAACTATTCTTTTAATTAAATACCATCAAAAGTTTTCAGAAACAGGGCATCGAGTTATTTTTTCTTTAAAAATGGTCCTTTCCAAAAACGCATTTTTTAAAAACTTCTTTATTTAATAAACAAATATGATTTACGTAATCGCTTTTTTTTTAATATATACACACGTTTTGAAATTTTACATTATGCACACACACACACACACACATTGTTATATATTTAAAAAATATTAGTGGTCAATATATATATATATATATATATATATATATATTAAATAAAAAACAGACCATTTTTAAGGTTCCATGTAATAAATTATTTCACCACAGCCTTTTTAAAGGACTAATTGTTCAGACTTACTTCCAAACAAAAAAAATGAAAAACAAATTTATACATTTTTGACGGGCCGTATTAAACATATGTAAATTAACGAAGCGAGGAAGTGAGGGGGAGAGAAGACATGAGGAGTTAGCAGATATTGACACATTTAAACGGTTAAATTAACGGAAGACATATATTGATATCGAAGGGGTAGATTGAAAAACCCATAGAGAAAAAAAAAAAGATTTAAAGAAGAGAGAAGAAGATAAATTACTAATTTTCTTTTAAAAAAAAAAAAAAAAATTTAATTTGATGTTTAAATTAATTAGTCGTTTTTAGGTCAATACTTAAAAATTAATTAAAATATTTTAAAGAATTTATTTATTATGCCATTTTATTATTTTTCCCAAATTGGCAAACGAAAGAGACACTCTTAAAATCCAAATTTATTTTCATATAATTATATATATATATAAATATATATAATATAGACATTAGAAATTAGTTTTTTATTGTCAATTTTTTTATTGTTCGTTTTTCTTAAATAAAATTTATCAATTTCAGTTTTTTTGAACAAATCATTAATTTATATATATATGTGATTTTTTATTGTCTTGTTTTTTTGGGAATTTGGTTTTAATTATGATTTTGATTATCGCCTATAAATATGCCATTTCTCTATGTCTATTTTATATAGCTATATATTATAAACGATCCGCTTAGGTGAAAAACATTAAAAATTTGTCTGGCTCATTAGGATAATTTTTTTTTAAATATATATATATATATATATATATAATTATATATATATATATATAAATTTTGATAATTTAAAATAAATAATACTTTTAATATATAAACAAATTATACTCAAATACGTAATTCATTTTCCATAAAATAATGCTTAAAGAGATAAAATTTGTCGGATTAATGTGTAGAAATCAATTAACCTTTTTAGAAATATATATATATATATATATATATATATATATATATATATATATATATTAAGTATATATATATAATTCTGAAATAGTAAGAAACAGTTTGTCGCATCTGAAAATTTGAGTTCAAATTTAAATTTTATTTTTATTTATATACGAACTATAGAATTATATTTGCAAATATTATCCCATTTAATTATATATATATATTAAAATATATTTTTATATATATATATATATATATATATATATATATATATTTATATATATAAAAAATATATATATATATATATATATATATATATATATATATATATATATATATATGTATGTGTGTGTGTGTGTGTGTGTGAAAATATATAGAAAATAGGAAAGAACTGGTTAGGTAAATAATCCAAAGTTCCTTAGTATTTTAGTTATTATTTTTAAAAATAGTGCTCGATACAAAAGTAGAGCATAAATATAATTATTTATTTAAAAATATGATTCCAAATCGCGACATAAGAGGTCTCATGTTTCAAAACAAGAGCCGAAAACTTCAATATAATTATTTGAATTAAATTGAGTTAAAATAAGCTCTGTTCCATCTTCAAGCGAAATTTTTTTTTTATAAACGTATTTCTGAAATTTACGTGTTTTAATAATTGAAATCAAAATTTCCATGGTACAGCTAGGGCGAATTGTTTAAATTGGGTAGGCGTGTGTTGGGTGTTAATAATAAGTATCAGTATAGAGTTACTTTCATAGATGTCAAGTCAGGGTAAGGTGGGGGTGTCTAAATTTGAAACGGAAGATGTTTTAACCTAGTCTGGTTTACGTGTCTATGGAGATTTATTTATTTTTTTTTATTTTTTTTTTTTTTTTTCATGAAAAAAAATTTGTGCATATTTTTGAAATAAAAACAAAAAAAACTGCCGTAACATTTAAACTTTTTTTGACTTTTATAAAGGGTTATCTTTTTTTGTAGGGTATTTTAAACTATTTATTTCTGATGATGGATTATGGTTAAATTATTATTATATTGTTTTTTTTTTTTTAATTAATTATTCAAACCATGAATTTGATGATGTCGACAAAAAACCGTTAACTCATGTCTATTGTTTAATAGATTATTATTATTTAGAAACTTAATAATGTGCAATTTTTCATGGAGGCACAAAGGGCATGGGTCATCCCAAGTTTTACATGTTCTAGCCTTGTTTATAATTTTCCATTTTACTTTTGGTGTCCTATTTGTTTCCTTCAGATGCCAAAAATATTTAGATAGGGAAGTCTGATTTCTTTTTATTTATATTATTGAAAGAGCATTTATGCTGCCTCCATCTATCTTTTTAAAATTATTCTTCGTGGACCCAATGTATATCATATTAGTACTAGGACTCTCAGTGGATGATATAGTACATTGGTATACCACAGATTTATGCAACATTTATTTTCTAATGGGCAGTCTTCTAGGTTTCTACAATTACATAATTTTTCCCTTTTATTGTCTGATTTTTCAGTGTAGGGTTTTTATTAAAACTATTTTTGGCATGCATGGGGTTTTGTTCAAGATCTTATTATTGTGTTTTTTATTATACGTTCAAGATTTTCAGAGCAGCTGTAACTCAATTTTAGGGTGTTCTTATTAAATATATTACTAAGCTTACTATTGGTGGGGAAGTGTTTATCAATTAGAGCTAAGAATTTCTGTCCTAGTTTAATACTAACCATTTGGTTAAACGGAGGGGTGTACCAAATGATATTTTCTTTTCCTATTTTTTTTTTTTATTAATATTTTTTATTGTTCTATAGTTAATGTTATATTTTTATAACCACTATTTTTTTAGGGCAGTGTTAAGTAATGTGTTGTGTTATTGGAATATTAAAAATTTGGAACGCGAATTTAACCATCATTCTAATATTGTGAGGGGCCATGCTAATATATATCTGGGTATTCCAATTTTATATACTATATTTATATAGAATTTCAACAGTTTTAATATATAAATTCTATGTTGTTCTATCCATATTTTTACAAACTATTTTATCAAAATTTTAAATATGTTAGTTCTGTATATTTACCATATTACCGTTAAATAATTAAATGATTATTTTCTATTTTTTTAATTCCACAAATACAACACACTTTATACACATGAATATATCTATATATATATATATATATTTATATACACATATTTTCACAGTATATAAAATATAAACAATTATTATATATATATATATATATATATATATATATATATATATATATATATATATATATATAATATATAATCGTTTTAAAATTTTATTTAATTCCTTCCGCCAGATTTTTACTTATTTAATTTGTTTTCAATTTTTTCATTGGATTATATGAATTTGAAATACCTTTCAATATTTATTAAATAGTCGTACTGAAATTTAACTTTATTTTTAAAATATCATATGCATAAAAATGATATTTAAAGGAAAATCCAATCGGATGAATAAAAAAAATTCAATCTTTCTTTTAGAAATTCTTTATATTACGATATTTTTTGGCTAGATATGTTTATCCTCAAGAATCATATAAAGATCAACCATTTATTGCTTTAACCTTTTTTTCATTTTGAGTGCAAAATTTTTGATAATCCAATGTTTTCAGCATAAAATAATAAGAACTAGACGAGATATTCCATCATGATTTTGCAATCGAAAAAGAAAATATCTATAAAATGAATTATGATTAAATTTTTAAATTTCTTTCAAATTCTGAAAAGTTTATCCAGATCGATTATAAATAAAATCAAAGGTTTTAGATAATTATTAAAAAATGATTACATTTGCAACAAAGATTTGACAATTTGTTTAGATAATATTAGTGTAACTATTGATAACTCCATATACCAAAATTTATTTTTTTATTAAGATTGTGTGTATATTGAAAATAACTCCTTTCCAGTCACGTTTTTAAATTTGTTTGCTGATTGAGAAAATTACAAAAGTTATAAATATATCGAATTCCAATCGAATTCATTATCATTCACTTTTTTTATTAAAAAATATTAATTCATATATATATTATATTAAAAAAGTTACCATATATAAACAAACATTTTAAACTGGATAGCATTTTATGAAGGACAATTTAAAAACCTTTAACTAATATATATTAATATTGTTTTCCATCATATTTTGTATACCCAAGTACTTTTAACAACTTAAATTCAGAACTATATTTAAATTTTATATTAAAGGAAAAGAAATTTCGTATATTTCATTTGATTTTATGGCTGTTTAATCCTCATCATTGTCAGGTTTTTTCTAAAGTCGAATTTAGTTAAAAGAACTTTTCCCCAGATTTATGACATATTTCATGATTCAATCATATATAATATATATATATTATTCTCATTTTTCTGCCATAAAACAGTTTTTATATTTAAAATATAAAAAGAAAATTTAACAATAAATATTTAAAAATAAAATTCTAATGGACATAAATTTTTTTTTGTCTTTCTATCTCAGCGTTTTTAAGAAAATTTATGAAATGGAGACGATGTTTTTTTCTAATGAAAGAATTCATTTTTTTTTCATTTTATCTGGAATGTTTTTGTTTTCCTTTCCTTTCATTTTCCTAATCAATATTTTAATATTTGTTGTCATTTCTGTCGTTTTTGCTGATTATTGTATCATATAAATATATTTTTTATACGATTTAAAAAAATGACAATAAACATTTTTGGTTTTCGCTAAAAAATTTGGAAAAAACTAATCGATAAAAAATTTTTTTAAAACACCGAATGACAATATATTTTTTTTTTTTTTATGGAATTAGTTATTGTAAATATGCAATAAATTTTACAAAACCGTTTTCGTCTTTAATTGAGACACTGATTTTTATTTAATTTTTTTTTTTGGCAAATCTTTTTATTCGTTTTTTCTTTTTTCTGTCTTTCTCTCTATTTTACTGATTATTATAAAAAAAATCCTAAAATTTTTTTTTCAAGTAACATTTTTTTCTTTTCATCTTTTCAATACATGATTTTATTAATCGCCATTATCTTTGACAGGTTTTTCTTTATGCAAATGCGTTTTTGTTATTTATTGTATTCTGCGTTAGTAGAAACTTAGAGACAGCCACTGAAAAAGAATATTTTAACCTCAAATTCACCAGAATAAAGTCCCCTTCATATTCGCAGGGAACCTTTACATGGAACATATTGAATCATTATCGAGATTATCTGTTTTGTCTGTCTATTTCAGTTTTCTAATCCCCTCTCTTTTCTTCTCATTCTCCCTCCATTATTTAAAATTTCTCTCTGTATATTTATCTATGTCTTTCTATTATCTATCTATCTATCTATCTATCTAAGTTCTCTCATAATTTATCAATCTATCTATTCAGTCTGTTCATATCTATCTATCTATTGTATCCATCTATTTATCTATCTATCTATCTATCTATCAATCTTTCGTATTTTTGGGTGGCCGTTAATAATTATCTTATAACTCAAGATTTAAATGTTAAAATAAAACAGTATTCAATTTCAACCGCCAATTTAACCATTTCAGTGAATACCTTGTTAGTAGTGCGGCTTGGCTTAACATAAATAAAAAATCCCTCAAAACCCAAATCATCGACGCAAATAATTCATCAAAAATTTCGACTGGATAGTTCCATTGAATAATCACTGCAGTCAGTAAAGGGGATTATAATCCGCTATTTATACACCTGTCAGAAAACATATTATTCATAAATCCAGAGTGTCACGCTCGAACCTCAGTGTCGGTAGTTACTCATTTATTTTACTCATTTTATTATCTTGTTTTTATATTTTTATGAAGGATAATTTCTGGTGTGCCTCAACAGATTGTCTCAGTTTGGTTTGGTGATTGAGGTAATGAAATAAAAATAAAGCAAAAAACCAACTAAAATTATTTAAATCAATTTTATGCTTTCCTAAATGTTTAAATAAAAAACAATGTATTTCTGCACCGTCTCTTGGCTTTTATTTTAAAATATAAATTTCCTTTGCACACCTTGTCGAATTTGTTCAACAATGGATGTAGTCAATAAATAAAAGTAAAACCAAAATATAAAAATTTAGCATGTATGTTGGTTCGTATGAAGTTGACGTCATTTTCTTTAATATTGACTGTTTATTTTCCTAATACAGAAGGAGATAAAAATTTCTAAGCCAGGGGACATTTCTATATTTCCTTTCAACCATCTGTGAGGAAAAACCGTGACGAAAGGGAAAGATTTAATTTTTATGTGTTTTGAAATCAGTGTCGCGTACTGCAAGACACGAATATACCGTAAACTGCTAAATGTATTTATAATCTTAACCTGTTGCCCCTAAATTTGGACAATAATTGTGTTGTGGAGAATAAGGCTTTCTTTTTTTTCTTGCAAATAAAATGGATTAAAAAAGTTAAAAAATATAATAATAATCTGAAATTCATTTGTAATTAAGTGAAGAAGGAAAAGAACTGGTTTTGTGTTGGAATTTGTGTTGAGATGAGGAATTAATTTCACAGTTCTATGGCTACTTGTTAATCCGCCCAGCATGCTCATCTTGTCGTTTTGGAGGTAGGTATATAATTATTTATAAGGTGTAGGAAAATGGATAATTCATCATGAAACAAATTTGATACGAATTACGCACCCAACGTGATACATTAATGAAGACGATTTTTTGAACTTTTTCAAAAAGCATGGCAAAAATAATAAAATTTAATATTCCTTATATATATATATATATATATATATATATATATATATATATATATATATATATATATGGTAATAAATCTGTTGCTATATAATCCAAGTGGATCTTAGTAATATAAAATATAGAAACTAATGCACAAAAAGTCAAAGTAATCATTATTACAGAACAAACGTTAATACACAATAAAACGCAAAATCAGTCTCTATTGATGTTTATTTTGGCAGACGAAAATATTTTCGTCTGTCTTATTCAATATTATATAGACAAGTTCATGTCGGAAATAGAAATTCGTCCATGTTTTTTTTCAAAAAAAGCAAAAAAACAAAAAAAACAAAAAAACAAGTTTGTACAAAAACAACAAACAAACAAACAAAAAAAAAAGAAAAAAAAAATTGACAAACAAAACAAACAAAAAAACCGAAAAAAACAACCAGAATTTATCCATTTCTTTCTTAAATGCTCTGTTTTTAATTAAACAGTATTAATTACATTTACTGGCCTGAATGTTCAAGAAATTTCGTAGAAAAATATGCATTCTCCAACAGGAATTGAACCTGTATCCTATATGGAACCGTCATTATTTCTGATTTTCCTTAAAAATTTAATTATGAAATTTTTGTTTAAAATAACAAATAAACAATAAAATACAATAATATATAGATTTATAAAAATAACATATAAATTTTTAAATTTATAAAATCAGTATATATATATAATATATAATATATAAATATAAGGAAATATATAAAAAAAAACACAAATAGATATTGGTCCCTTCCTCTTATTCAGAGATTAAAGATTTTATATATTGGATATATAGAAAAAGAGAGAACTAAATTTTTAAAATAACATGCCAAGAGATGATCAAAAAAGATATTTTATAATGGTGAAAGAAACTTGTAAATGTAAAAGTGAAAAATTTAATTCAAAAAGGTCTATATGAAAATATATAGGGAATGAAGAATGAACATTCATAAATTTTATCTTTTTTTAAAAAATATATTTTTTGAATGCCAAAATTCTTAAATATAACTTTTTTATAGTGAAAAGAAATCCAAAGATTTATAAAATTTTGGAAGATTGTTTGGTCCCCAAAAACAACAAATTAAGAAAGAAAAATGATAGAATATAAATATCTTATTTAAAATAGATTATCAATTTATTGAAAATATCAGGCAAAAATAAGTTTTCAGGGTGAAATGAATTAATTTTTGGTTATTTTATTTTAATAAAAAAATTTGAAAATTGTAAATTTTTAAATCATTTTTTTTTTTATCTTTTATGTTTAAAAAAAAAATTAAAAATTAAAATTTAATTTTAAACATTTAAAACAACGTAAAAAAAAAGACAAAAATAAAATATTAATTATTTTATATTTTAATTTCTAAAAATTTTGCTTTATATCTTTTGATTATATATAGAATTTAAAATATTTTAATTTTTTTATTATATTTAAAATTTTTATTTAATTTTTAATTTTCCTTTATTTCTTTTAATAAAAAAAAATAGAAAAAAAATTTCCTTTATTTTTAAATTCAAATGAGATTTTTTTGATAAAAAATATCAATTTTCTAAATTTTTAAAAAATTTATATCTCAACAATCTTTATTTTTTAACAAAATAAATAAAATAAATTGTTTGGATTTCCAAAAACTTTTAAAAAAAATTAAATCTTTTGACTTTATTTCTTAATATTCTCCTATTCTATTATTTAATTTCTCTTTGAAAATTTTATTTCTTTAATTCTATTCAGAAATTTCAAAATTTTTCTTTATTTTATAATAATAATATTGCATTTTTATGAAATGTATTTTACATTTATAAAAGATTTAAATAATGACAAGAAAATGTTTAACATGAAAAACCATAAGTATCCATCTGTAGAAATTGTAAAAAATTCATAAAAAAATTTTCAACTTTCTAAAAAATCCATAATAAAATTTTTTGAAAAGAAAAAAATTAAAAAAATATATGATATTTGTTTATAATATCATTTTTTAAAACAAAATTTTTCCTTTATATAATTTATTTTTATTTGCAAGGTTTCATTGATGCATATATTTACAATTTTATTTTATCTATAAATATTTATATATATATATTTGAATTTCTATACCTTTTAAAATTAATTCTAAATTCCAATATTAAATCATTAGTTATAAAATGATTTTGTAAATCTATTTTTAAAATACTTTCCTTTCTTTTTGAAAATTTTATTTATTTCCTTTAAATTTTTTTTTCATTATTTTTCCCATCATTCATTTTATAGGTTTTGGATAAATCTTAATATTACTAAATGGTTTTTGGAATAGAATTTTAAAAGGTTTTTTAAAAAAATTTTTTTCATATTGTTGATGTTTAATATTTTTTTTTAAAAAATCATATTTCAAAAATTGCTTGAAATAAAAAAAAAAATTTTGATTAAATTTATTAAATTGAAATATTGATGTAATTTTTTTTAAATATTTGGGTATATTAAAATATACAATATAAAAATATTATAATTTCAATATAAAAATCAAAATGATTTTTTTAAAAAATTTGATTTGCAAAAATTTTTTTTATCATATTTATTATTAATTTTAATGATTATTTTTTGAAAATATCTTTTTTTCCTATTTATTTTTATTTTTTTAATTTTTGGATTTATTTTCATCATTTTTTTTTTGAATTTTATTTTTTTTATTTTTTTTTGTGTTTTTAAAATATAATATAAATATTTTAAAAATTTTAAAATCATTTTATTTATATATTTAATTTTTAAAAAAAAAAAAAAAAATTTTTTTTCAAATTTTAACTTTTTAATTTTTGTATGGAAAATAAAAAAGAAAATTTTTTCAATAAAAAAGAAAAAAAATTTTTAAAGATCAAATTTTTATCCAGAAAAATGAATTTTTTAAATATTTTTTAAAAAATTAAAAAGAATTTTAAATAATATAAAAATTTTAATAATCATTTAAACCTTTTTAAATTTTTTTTTTTATTTAGCATGTTAAAATATATTAAATTAATATCACATTTTAATTATAATTTTTTTTTTTTTTTAATTTTATCATTAAAAATAAATATTTAAATATATAAATTTATATATATGTATAAAAAAATATTAATAATATTATTTTGTTATTTAGGTTTTAATCCTTCAATTCAATTTTTTTCAAAAATTAAAAACAGAATCTTTGGCATTTATAAATTTTTTGCATTTTTAAATTGTTTTAATATATCATTTTTTTTACTATACACATATTATATATATAAATAATTAATTAAATGTTTCTGTATTTGTTGATTGGTATTTCAAAATATATTTTTTTTCAATAATCATTTTTTTTGAATTTAATTTGAAAATGAAGATAAAATTTAATTAATCTGGAAAAAAAAATAAAAATGTTCAATTTTTATTAAAAAAAATTCAAATAAATTTTTAAATGTTTTTATTTATTTAGATTTTTTCAGTTTTTATCAAAAAAAAATTTTTAAATTCTTTTTTTGATATTATTTTTTTAATTTTTTATAAATTAAAATTTGAATAATTTAAATTGGTCCTTTTTTTGTATTATGAATTTATTTTTTCTAAAAAAATTTATGAAAAACAATCAATAATTCCTAAATAAATTTTATATATTTAAAAATTGGTATATATATTCTATTAATATTTAAAATATAATAATAAAAATTTGATTTTTTGTTTATTTTATTATTTTGGATAAATTTGATAAAAGATGACATGTTAAATATT